TTTTCTTGCAATTTTTTTTGTAGTTTATGATAAAAAGATAAATTTTACGAAATATTAATAGAATCACAAATATAAATGTTGAAACTACAGCAATTTTGTATTCAAATTTGTATTAAAATTAAGAAAAAAAAAACAGAGTTGCAACAAAAAAGATTGAAATCTTTGAATAAAAAGATTGTGGAAAGAGCATATTATCGGAAATCGACCGCGACGGGCTCCTAAATTGACCGACTTAAATTCCGGTTTATCAGTGCCATTCTAATTTTATTCAAAACGTGTAAAAATATGATGTAGGGTGGACTCAATAATTTGTTGTTTTATTTTATGTTATGAATAAATATTGGTAGTTATTAAAATTGGGTAATTATTGGGGAAAATTGGAAATCGTCCGATTTTCACCAAAATTGGTAAACACCCTATTTTGAGGTCGTAGATTACGAATCTGAACTTTTTTTTCTGGCGGTCTCTTACCGTTTTTCAGAAAAATGAAAAATTATTTCAACATCGAATTTTTCTTAATTTCTCATATTTTTAAGGTTTTCTAGCTTCTAGCACATATTTTGTTAGGTACCTATTCAATAAACAATGATGTTTTTGCTATTTTCTGTTTCTTTTTTAACCAATTCTATGCATAATAGAGGAAAATTTGCTAAAATAAATTTGTAAACAATCTGAAAATGTTGGATTATGTGTTTCTGGCTGGCATTTAAAGCAACGTTGCCAATGCTATTTTAGCGTGTTTTTTTCGTTCATTCTGGGATTACAAAAGGCAGTCGCCAGAAGAACGGCTTCTTCCCATAACTGCTATTTTACCAACAAGATCTGACTATTTATAACCACGAAGTTGCACGAAAGAGTTTTGATTGCATTGTTGGTTACAACTTCCATGCGGAGGGTGTTAATCTTAACACCCTCCTTAAGGGTGTAAAATAAAAGAGAAAAATTTTCTAACCAAAAATATTCTTGGTCTGTGCTTTTCGTGCATTTTTTTGTAGTTTATGGTAAAAAGATAAATTTTACGAAATATTAATAGAATCACAAATATAAATGTTGAAACTACAGCAATTTTGTATTCAAATTTGTATTAAAATTAAGAAAAAAAAACAGAGTTGCAAGAAAAAAGGTTGAAATCTTTGAATAAAAAGATTATTGAAAGAGCATATCGGAAATCGACCGCGACGGGCTCCTAAATTGACCGGCTTAAATTCCGGTTTATCAGTGCCATTCTAATTTTATTCAAAACGTGTAAAAATATGATGTAGGGTAGACTCAATAATTTGTTGTTTTATTTTATGTTATGAATAAATATTGGTAGTTATTAAAAGTGGGTAATTATTGGGGAAAATTGGAAATCGTCCGATTTTCACCAAAATTGGTAAACACCCTATTTTGAGGTCGTAGATTACGAATCTGAACTTTTTTTTCTGGCGGTCTCTTACCGTTTTTCAGAAAAATGAAAAATTATTTCAACATCGAATTTTTCTTAATTTCTCATATTTTGTTTTTGCTATTTTCTGTTACTTTTTTAACCAATTCTATACATAATAGAGGAAAATTTGCTAAAATAAATTTGTAAACAATCTGAAAATGTTGGGTTATGTGTTTCTGGCAGGCATTTAAAGCAACGTTACCAATGCTATTTTAGCGTGTTTTTTTTCGTTTATTCTGGGATTACAAAAGGCAGTCGCCAGAAGAACGGCTTCTTCCCATAACTGCTATTTTACCAATAAGATCTGACTATTTATAACCACGAAGTTGCACGAAAGAGTTTTGATTGCATAGTTGTTTACAACTTCCATGCGGAGGGTGTTAATCTTTTGTTGCTGTACCAAAAAAAGATTAAGCCCCTCTGCAAAGAAATTGAAACCAATGCAATCAAAATCAAAATTCTTTCGTGCAACTTCGTGGTTATAAATAGTCTTTATATACAGGGGCGGATACAGAAATTTATTTTAGGGGGGGGCCAAATAAAAAATAATGCAAAATATACCTTTTAGGGCGCCATTTTTAACCCAAAAGCAGAGACCCAAAACCCAATTTACAGATTTTAGGGGGGGCCCGGGCCCCATGGGCCCCCCCTCTGTATCCGCCACTGTTTATATAGCTTCTTTGCGGAAGGGGTTAATCTTTTTTTGGTATAATATAACAACAAAAGATTAACACCCTCTGCATAGAAGTTGAAACCAATGAAATCAAAACTCTTCTGCGTAACTTTGTGGATATAGGTAGTATATTTAACTATTTTCAGATCTCATAATAGGTAATTTATTTAAAATGCCTAATCACCCGAAAAAATAGAAGATTTCGTTGTAAATTTTCAAATTTCTAGATTAGGTCTAGAACCAGAGAAGAACAATCGTAGAGAAGCGACAAAAACCGTCGGTACTATTGAAGTAGGGGGGACCCAAGGGGGGGACCAGGTTTTGTGACCTTCAAATTGGCGTACGTGACAGATCGCATGTTTATAGTAGTTTATAGCTACACTGAGAGGAATTCAGTGAAGGCAAAAGAAATAAGAAAAGCTGTACACTGAAAAAACATGTGTTCAGTAAAAAGTATATTAGAAATATTTAGGAATCATATTGAATAGTAACTATCTTTTAAGATTTAACGGGTTTCCGCGATTTCTAACCTATTCCTTTTAGAGAGACATTTTCAAATCGTATCTGATAATATTGTTTGCTTCGAAATTAATATTTGAGAGTGTGTTTTTAAGTAAAACAATTTTAAGAAAAATTCTAATATTTATCAGCTGTTATCACAAGCGTTAAAACAAACCAAAAATAAATAACCTGATTGCAGTTGAGGGTTTTAACTGGGGTATTACAACAGCAAAAGAAAACCAAACCACAATACTATAGCGTTTTTTAAACATTACCACGCGGCAGCTTTTCGTTGGTAGAGCAGTCGTGGATAAGGTATTTCACTGGAAAGAAACTAACTAACAATAATAAATCAAAAATACAAATATTGGGCGCCAGGCATGAACAGAGAAAGAAAACACAGTTGTTTATTACTTAAAACTAGTGACTATATTCATTCATGATGTATTCTGATGGTAAATAGCATTGTACAATTTTAATAATTATTATAGGTGCTTATATGTCGAGTAAAGCTATGTATGTAAATAATATTAAATATGTTCTATGAAAAGACTATGGAAAAATACAATGCGTGTAAACTTATAGAAAATATATGAGAGGTAGCATTACTTTATTTAATTTGTTAAATTTTATGCGATGTTAAATCTGAGATGTTGCAACCCATAGATTCTAGAACCTATGTTTGGTTATTCATCTGTTAAAATAGCGCAATTATAATATCTATGAAAGTAATACTGTTACGTTTTTCGTCGGTTCCGTGTGGATAGGAAGTCACAATTTATTTAAACACAATTTATTTAACACTAATTAACAAAAACAATAACGATAAAAGACTTAAAGAACTATTTATAACTATACAGGGTGTCCCAGAAATGAGTGCAGATATTTTAACTGGTAGTATAGTTCAACCCCAGAAACACGCCTATGAGGGTTTTTTTGCGAAAAAAAAATGTTGAAAATTTTATATTTTTCTTGACATTTTCCGGAAAATGTTGAAAAACTTTTGAGTGCCACTGTTCACTCCCCGGGAAATTCGTTTACCGGGCATAGAGAGTGTCGGAGAGAATGCAACGTTGCCACCTCCTACCATAGCCACATTCTGCATGTTTATCTATAAATTCAATTATTTTAAGTTGCTACAGAAAAAAATACGTAAATTAATTTTATTCATATTAGTGTAGATTGCTCTACTAATTGTAGAGAAACGCGCAATATTTTAAGTACTTTTTACAGTGGAGTAAACTGAAAAAATAAATCTTAACAATTATAGCTTCTTTTTTCGCCATATTAGGAAATATTTTCAATCGTTTCAATAAACAATTATAACCTTTAATGTTTAGTTAGAGCTTACCCTTTTAATGAAAGTGTTTTTTATCCAGCACATACATATACGCAAACACATACACACACCAAATATCTATTAAACTGAACATCACAAACCTATCACATGCCTATCACTTTTAAAATATTATTTAAAAATTTTCTCACATGATAATAATCAAACACTAAACCATAAATACAATAAAAAATGTTAAAAAACTTGCTTTAATAACTACTACTAATACTTATATCCGGCGGCTGATGGTAGACAGTCCGGGGTTTTCTTCGACATTTCTTCAAAACCGACGCAACCCCGACAACGATTTCGAAAACACTAAAGGAATTACAAATTACAAATTTTTTATTTCGGAATTTTTTGACTTAGCGTCCTCTACTGGACTGATGTATTACTATTATGGGTCAACGTTTTTGGTGGTTGTCTAAAGATAGATAAATCAATTTTCTAAATGTTTAATGTATGGAGTAGAGGATATCCCAAAAAATAAATTAAAAAATACAAGAAAGAATTAAGGTAAAATCAAAGAATATTCTATGTTATCTAAAATATAAAAAATATGGGGAAGCCCAGACAAAAATCTGACACCTGATATCAAAGTGATAAACAAACATCGGGCGCATGCGGCAGCGAAAGCACTTACCCTTAATTTTTCAGTTCATTGCTAGATGGCCACTTTTTACTAGGGATGCACTGCAAACAAATATTCCAGCAAAACTAAAGTGTTTTTTCTTATTCCCTAAAATTCTAACAAATAAATAAACCTGTAAAACTGTATAAATAAAAATCGGTACTTCGATTTAAAAAAAAGATCGATTATACCAAAAAAAATCGTTTGATAAAAAATCGCGTCGATTTGATAAAAATCGATTCGAATCGTACATCCTTAGTATGGTGTGTAGTTTAAGGTTATTCATGGGTTATTAAACTCGCACAAAAACAAAACAGAAAACAACAAAAAAACAATAATGCAAACAATGCCAAATAAACCTGTAAAAAGTACTTTATTATTCAAAATGAAATATCATATAATTCAGTTGGTATACGAATATTTTTGATTTATTTATAATGTTTTGTGTCAAAAATATGTGAGAAATGAGGTAAACAGTTTAAATGTCTTAATAAATTCGTTTTTAATTGATTAACCTTTCAGGTATCTACCTAATGGTAGGAAGAAATTAATTATGTAATGGTAGGAAAAATAATTTCACTTTAATTACGTATTAGAAAATCAGTAATCTTAAATTAGGATGCATCAATGGAGAAGAAGGCAATTGTAATCACAATACAATAATAGATCTACAAATACCAGGCAATACATTAAATCAAACACTGTTGTAATTATGTACTCCCTGTGGTCTTATTAAGTATAAAGTTTTGTTTTACATGAAAATAATTATCCCATTTAATTATGCATTAAATTTTAGTGTCAGCTTATTGATAGCTCGATTACCAGTCAAATAGTTTCGCTGTTTTCTATACTATGAAGAAAATTTGATCTGATTAGATTAATTCAGATGTAAATTTATGTTATACGGTAAGATATTTTTAAACAAACCAAGAAAGTTCTCTTCAGACAAGTTCTGGTCTGAAATTGCAAATATTAACGAAAAAGTTATACATGTAGTTTTCTATTCATAAATGATATTATTGATTTTATTCTAGGTGAATGTATCGAGTCATATATTATGCAGAATATATTGAGAAATATATTCTGCATAATATATGACTGCTCAATATATATTGAGCCTCGACCGTAGCACATTGTAGTTTATTATCGTCTGTCTCTTGCGCACCGGCGTCGGTATATATATAGGCGTGCGACGGAGTCTCGAACGCTCTGGGCGGTGCTGGAAAATTCTTAACCGCTGTGTTCTCGAATTTCTAGGCTCTTCTAGGTCATATTAAAGCGGGACTGGTTTCGCAACACTGCCCCCTCCTTAGATACATGCTCGTCCCGAGATGTACACGGTGAATGAAGGTACTTGCAAAGCTGGCCCCTGGTACATTGAGAAGTCTGGTAGAAATAGCAGTCTACAGTTTTCTCGCCTGATCTCAGCTTTGGGTTGTAGCAGCAAACGAGGATCTCGATTCCCGTAAATCTAAACAAGACTTCAATCATGTTCCGGATTGTACGCCAACTCAAACCATCGAGTCCACACACCAGCTTCGGAATGGCTAATCGTGTAATGTTGTTGTTTAGCAGGGCTTCTCTCAGTTCAATCAGGGTCTTCCATAGATTGAGATAAGTCGGCTTACTCGGCGACCATTCCTTAGTGACCAGATAGAAGATATGTCTTGCTTGACCATGCGCATTGTCGATTAGCCTCAAGACGCTTCCAACCTCTGGATCCTGTCGGCGTAGTTCTCCGATACGCCCAAACTTCTCATTGAACGTCGCAGCAATTCCTCTGGACATTCGCAAATCTTGGGCCACACAGTGAGCGAGCGAATAATCAGGAGGCACGGAAAAGAGGTTCCGTTGTTCTTCTTTGGTCACACCATAGCGAGCCTTCTTACTGCTGTTGTATCGGGCCATGAAGTCGTCTCGCCATGAAGGATATCTCCGAATCAGGGGGATCAAAGCTGCAGGTTCTCACGGTCCCAGCACGATCTTCTATTTCGCCTTGGTAGGGGCTCAAACGGTTGAAATGAACTATCCTGGGTTTTCCTTTTGGCAATTTTCTGATACGATATACGACGTCATTAATCCTATCCATGACTTCGTATGGGCCTTCCCACGAGGATTGCAGCTTCGAAGATAATCCACGACGCCTCTGCGGGTTGTACAGCCACACCAAATTCCCTGGTTGGTACCCTCCATGTTCAGCTTGAATGTCGTAGTGCTCCTTCATTCGGTCACTAGTGCTTTGAATATTTAGGCGGACTCGCTGATGGATGTCGTCCATCCTTTGGCGTAGTCTATGGACATAATCTTCTCCGGCGACATCTTCTCCCGGTCGGCAACCAAACTTCAGATCACAAGGTAGGCGCACTTCCCGTCCCATAACGATGCTGGCTGGAGTTTGCCCTGTGGATTCTTGGACGGCCGGCTTCAACCCCCCACCCGCACCAAAAACTAATGGCCAAATTATCGGGTGCCACAGTATTTTGTGCCAAATTTGGTTAAAATCGGTTTAGCGGTTTTTGAGTTATCGTGTTACAGACGGACAGACAGACAGACACCATGAGAAAATACTTTGTATTTAGGTCATTTATGATCCAAATAACTCATGAGTGAAATTAAAAAAACTTTTTTTTGCCGATCTTAATAGCCTACCATAGCTGTTGGTATGGTTGGCTAAAAAGTTGACCGCGACTCCTTATCAAAATTAGATTTACACCATTCGATGACCGGTGGGCCTATAGCGTTTGTTCGCACGGTTAGTCTTTTACTCCCGTTTAGAGCCATTAAAAAGTTCTAAGGGGGATGTTTTGTGGCTGCTAACCTCGTCAAACAGTTCAAGCTTTTTGCACCAAAAAAGAGATTGAGTGACATATGACTGACAAACAAACCAGAGAAACCAACAATTGCACTGGTTAATTTGGTGACAATCATAAATACTGTTACGGATTCCGTGGGTCCACTAATTTAAACTCACGATAAAATACTTAACGAATTTATTTGTCTCACTCTGTACACACAACTTATACTATTTACAACACAATTTATGCAACTACTATTACTCTAACGGTATTTCACAATTTAAAACGCAGTATTATCAAACTTCCAACTGGTCCAACTGCCAAAGCGCGGGCCTTATATACCCCCTGGCGATTGTTTCTGGAACGTTCTAAAGAATATTGTAATTTTCTTTTACTTTCTGGCGAATTCGTCAGGTTCCTCAATGCATGTTGCGGTTATGTAGGAGCAATGCAGTTATGCAACCAGTAATACAGTTTAGCGCTACATTTGACCTTGACAATACTTTTCAGGAACCGTGTCCACAATAATAAAAAATTCTTGAAACAAAACATGAAACAAAATAGGACAACGGTAATCAAGATTAATTAGGTACACATTACTTTTATTTCTTACAGCACTGTATCCACAAAAATACGATAAATTTATAATACAAGGATTATGAAAATAAATTACTAATTACACATAAAACATGTAAATTAAAAACACTATGAGACATACGTATTTTTTCATTCCTATATTAATATACAATTTTATAAAAATATTTTTTTTGGTAAATTTATACATTACATAAATGTTCTAATTCTAGAGTTACATGTCATTTAGATTTTAAAATAATCAAGTAATTATTTGCATTTCCAATACTTAGAATAAATTAAAGTTAGCTAAACTGAATCCTACACCCTGTCAAAACGTTACATTACTGATTTGTCACTTTCTGGAATGTCAGACTCGTTACAGCCCTCTATCGGTGGCATTATAGCTAAACTAGGTGTATTTTTCAAAGAATCTGTGTAGTTACAGGCCTCCACTACAATTTGATTGAAGGCTTCTGGCTTGTCGGCGTAAACGTGATGCCCCGCACCATGAACAACCTAAAATATAGAATAACAAATACAGGGTGATTCACGGCCATGGTTGGTTAGACGTTTATGAAGAAGCGTTGCTAGGATTTTTTTGGAAAATTTGGATCTTTACATAAAAATATCAGTGTTACAGTGCTCCATGTGCACTAACAGTGCTTCATGTTAAAAGTAGTAGCATCTTTGTTATTTTAAATGGAACACACGGTATAGTATTAAATTTTTCGATCTACTTCCATTTTTCATATTTTTTCTATTTTACCAAGTCCAGTATCGTCGTTGTTGACAAATGTATGAAAAAAAGTTTTATATGAATGTTGCATGGTTTATAAACAGTCCCAAAAAAAGTAATGATAAAGTTGTAAGTTTTTTCAAATTGTAATCCCCATTTTTCTGTACAGAATTGGGTCCAGCATAAAATCCTGCTATAGTACACTAATAAATAGTGGACAATAATGCGTGTAGGAGCGGCTATAAAAGCCGCTCTTACACGCAAGGGATTTTTAAAAGATTTGTTCCACCGCGGTCTTCACCTCTCATTAATATCTGTTGTTAGTGGACTACCGCGGAGAAATATCGGATATGTGGCGGTCCCGATTATTGTGAGTTCTAACCTGATGAAAGATCAGATATGCGCGGTTGTGAATACCAAAATATCTGTACTCTGAATGACCGGGTCGGCGAACACTGAATCTCATATCTGGACTGCGGGAGCGATCGCTTAAAAATCCCTTGCGTGTACAGGCAGTACAAGCGTCTAGGTACACCCCAACAACACATGCCTGAAGGCTTATCTCAAGCGTATTCTAGGTTTTGGGTCGGGTATTCAATCTAAACATGAAAAACAACCGCAGAGATTAAACAAAGCAATCCAAACACGCCTACAGCCTACGGAGTACTGTGGTCCCGTAGACTTAAAAAACGCGAAAAAATGATTTTTGTAAAATTAATCGAGACAAGCCGAAAATATAAAACAATAGTTAAATGTTCAGTTTACTGTAAAATGACCAATAAATAGATTATCGTCACATATTTGAGGCGAGGTACGTTGACAAAGTTATATCATTATTTTTATACAGGGTGGTCCGAACTGTATTCCGGAAACTTCGGCAGCATATTCTGCAGATAAAAATAAGTAAAAAAGTTCGTATAAATGTATGTCCTAAAATGCTTAGTTTCGGAGATACAGGGTGTAGAAGTTTCATTTTTATTTCGATTTTTTCCAAATAATTTCTGAAGTAACGTCACTATTTGGATGAAAATTGGTGGATGGGTGTTTTTTGACATGAGAAATTTGATTTTGATGTCAATATAACTCCCATTTGTAGGTGGCGCCACCTACATGTGTTTTAACTGTTGAAGAGTAATAACTTTTTGTCGGTACCTGTATAAAACTACTGAGTAAAAAAATATACATTGACGAGTTTTTTTACATAAAAAAGGTTTCTTGGTAAAAATCGCTACCAGTAATGGTTCTCGAGATATTTGGAATCGAAATTATCAATACCTGTCATCATTGACATAAATTAAACATGTTGACTATATAGTTTATTAGACTGAAATCATAAATTTGAAATCTTTTTGTGTCAAAAGTTCAAAAGAAACTGTATAATCATAATTTTTTCGCAGAAAAACTTATGATTAATTTAAAAAAATAAAAATTTATTATTTCAGTCAAATAACTATACTCAACGTGTGCTTATTTTTTGTCAATAATGTATGTATTGACTATTTCCATTCTAAATATCTTGGGAACGGTTGCTCGTAGCGATTTTTACCAAGAGACACTTTTTACATACAAAGTCATGGAAATGTATTATTTTTTTATTCAGTTGTTTTATACAAGTACGGTCGAAAAGATATTACTCCTCAAAACCGTTAAAACACATGTAGGTGGCGCCCCCTACAAATAGAAGTAATTTTGACATCAAAATCAAAGTTCTCGTGTCACAAAACTCCCAGATTACCAATTTTCATCCAAATATTGACGTTACTTCAGAAATTATTTGGAAAAAATCGAAATAAAAATGAAACTTCTACATCCTGTATCTCCGAAACTAAGCATTTTAGAACATACATTTATACGAACTTTTTCACTTATTTTGATCTGTAGAATATGCTGCCGAAGTTTCCGGAATACAGTTCGGACCACCCTGTATATTCTGATATAATTCATACCTCTTTTTTACAATGCTA